ACATGCATACACGCATGTGGGGGCATATAAATTACTGAATACCATTTTAAGTTGCTGCAATGAAATTTCAGGACATTCACAGTAATTTTTGGGGGTCTTTGAATTCAGCCCTCTGTAGTTTGATCATTTTCCATCAAAGGATGTGGCATGCTTTTGGTCCTGACACATCACCCAGTCCATATCAGTATAAATAAACAGCATGTTGTTTTTTCCCCCCACTGAGATCTGCTGTGTTTTCAAAGTGTTCCTTTAACTTTTTTGAGTAGTGTAGATAGCTACATCTGGATCATACTACGACTCTTACTTTGGGAAGATAAGCCAAACTGTATTTTTGGAGATTGAATGACATGAAAAGGCCTATGTTGTTCTTTCTTTCACATAATGAGCTTTGCAATATAAATCAGTCTGTTGGTGAATGGACAATAGAAATGGGCTCTGCCTTGCCTTGTTGGAAAAGTATGGTCATGACCTGTTCTCAGCTCAGGAAGTAGGACCCATATGATATCTGGTTTTTCAATAGGTTTGCCTAAATTAAAGATTTAGATATGACTTATCAAGATATTCCTGCAAAAAGGTCTGATGTTGCAGGGGAAGGTAATGAAAGGTGCTGGAAAAAAATGCTTGTTCTAATGCCAGTTTGTTTCAGCCTTTATTCAGTCTCATGTAGAAGGGCTGGTCATTTCACAGGTTATTTGCATTACAATATAGACAGTTAGCAAGTCAGAGTGAATACACAAACTTGAACAGGGGACGGGGGCTTGTAGGAAAACTGGAATTCTCTGGGACTTCTAGCGTTAAGCAGCTAGAGGATATAACAATTCGGATTGTTCTTCGCTTCCTCGAACAGCGCAGAGAGAGGTCAGCCCAAATATCAGCTAATCCTTGGCCAAACCCTCCTTACGCCCCTATGCCTAATGTGGCAGTGTCTTGATCACCTTCCAACGAAGCTGGGAAGCATCCATCTTTAGCTGTGCCTCTACTGAGATGGAGAGGAGCACCGGGTGAGATCTTGTCCAGTAAAAGGAAAGGTTCAGTAGGAGGAAGGGGGTTTGACTTTTATTGTGATCTGACTAAGGTTCCTGAGGAGTATCATGACCTCAGAGAAGTCTTTAATAAGAGTAAGGTCACCACTCTGCACCCACATAGACCTTATGATTGTGGGATCGACTAACTGCCAGGTGCTACACCCCTGAGAGGTAGATTTCTGTTCCAACTCTTGAAGGAGGCGATCACATTTTCCTGCTCATCTGTCCCTGGTTTGCTGTGTCTTGTCTTTTCTGAGAAATTTATGGATTTTTGGATTTATGATACTTTGATTTCTTGTGATTAGATTCGGAAGATACCTGATGTATCTACAATTACAGAGCATGTCAGCGGCTATTTGGGTAATTATCAGGCTGCCGGAAGAGGTTAATACGCTCACAAAGGCTGTAAACGAGCAGGACCGTGAGCTGAGCCGTATGTTGTGTGCTATTGAAAATAGGCTGGTGGTGGTGGTTGAACTCAAAGGTGAGAATGGATAATATCTTGGATGTGCATGCTCGCTTCAAGGCGGAAAAACCCAACAAATTTGGAATATTGGATTCACCACGTGGAGCCCACGACAAAAGAAAAAAATCTTGCCATCCCTGAATCAGAGCACTACCTGTTTGATCTGTTAATGGTTTTCAATCCTTGCAACCAAACCAGCAGCAGAAGTGGAGTTTGGAGATGAAATTCACTTTTTAAATCTATCTTTGCTCTCTAATTTATCCAGAAGTTTTGCAATCACACTTTTTCTCTCCCTCCCAGCTTGGTGGAGGGCTGCATATTTAGCATGCCTTCCATGGAAATGCCTTTCTTTTTACTATTTTATAACTTCTCATTCCAAAGCAAACATGCAGGCAATCCTTCCTCATTGGTAATAAAAGCAAATGCTTCATTCCATTCTTCTTTGAATCCTCTGTTCTCATCAGCATTCTTCCTTTTTTCCCTTCAGAATCCATGGTCCGAGACACACCCACAGCTTTCTTTGCCTGGCACCAAGCCATGCTGAAACCTGCGGCAAGCTATGACCATTGATGTATGGCTATGGCGCAAATTTTCGTTGAAAGAAATTTTTACATTTATTTTTTTAGATTTATTTATTATGCAAATGTTTACAGCATTAGAAAACAATGAATCTGTGTTTGACCTCCTGCCCAACACATTAAAATAAACAACCCCAAAAAATTAATTTTTATACATTTTTGAAAAAGCTCCAGCAAGCCACAAGGGGGGCGCTAAAGAGACTGACAGAGTCTCTTTACCGACCCATTGCTTAGACACATTACTTTTTGTTGACTTAGACAACATCAACAACACAACATTTACTTTACATCATTTACTCTCAGGACTTGGAGTCCCATAAAATATATGTCAGATCTGTTATCTTATGTATGTTGCAAAATCAATTGTTGGTTAAGGTAGAGAAATGCAATTTTAATGTTGACTTAATGTCATTCATGTGTTTTCTGGTTTCTCCTGGTCAGATCTCAATGGACCCTACAAAGGTGCATGCAGTTACTGACTGGTCGGTTCCTAAGGATAAGAAACAACTGCAGAGGTTCGTGGCATTTGCTAATTTCTACAGGACAGTAGATAGTAAGAATCGGGCACCTGGTTTTATTGGGTCGTTCCCCATCACTGAGGTGGTGAACCCGGTGGCTGTTCATCTCCAGCTCCCTCGTGCGATGAAAGTACACCCTACGTTTCAAGCCTGTTCTAACTCCTATAAATGCGTTTAATGAATCCCTTTAGTCTGTCTGCGAATGTTCGCTTTGCTTTGCATCACTTTACAGGTAAATCAGATGTTCTGACGCCCAGAAATCTTTTGGTCTAAATGGACCATTAGCCCATTAATTAAGAAAATCTATTTTATAATCTTAGTGTTTTTTTTTTTTTGTTTTTTTGTGTTGGTGATGTAACATTTGTTAACCTCAAACCTCAATAACCTTGTTGTTATGTTGTGTGTACTTTGATTTCTACCTCAGTAAAGCAAAAGGAAAGTGGCATATAAGTAAATTTGACTGACATGACCTTTAAATCAAACTGTCAGCGATGAGAAGGTTCTACATCAAACCATGTTCATCTGAAAATCCTCTGAAAAACATGGAGGTTTCTCAGCAGTTTCTAGTTAAAAATGTTTCTATCCTGTTTTCACACCTTGGTTTTGAGCTATGATGTTTACAGACACAATATCTAAAGACCAAATTGCCTTTGTAATATAGAGGGAGAAAAAAGTTGATTTAGTTGGCATACCTCCATTGAGAATCTCAATTGAGTGAACCGTAGCTGAGGTAGTAAGAAGGATTTTCTGTCCATAGCCAATTGTAACGCGGTGGTCTTCACTGTGTCCTGGCATCCAAAGGTGAAGTCCCAACTCTTTATCAGGACAAACTGGGGGAAAGGAAAAAAGCATCAACTGGCTACTAGATGTGTGCAGCCTAGAGATTAAATCTGAGGCTTCTGAGGTAAGATTCCTGGAGGTAGAAGGCACAACATGCTTGGCCTTTAAAGCAATATTTAAGAAGTAAACAACTAGCATGTTAAGTGTCTGGCCAAGTTAAAAGCAGGCATAACAGATCGGCTTGAAATAATGGGGCTGATGGGGAAACTAAGATTTGAAGAAGAAGAGGACACAGGGAAAAAAACAACAAAGATTAAAAAGACCCTGTCAAGGCTCAGTACAGAGGACCCAGTAATAAAGAAAGACACACGGCTACATAATTCAAAAGCATTTATTTAAAAAGTGCGGATCTGCAGTAGCAGCAAGGACATCTAAGGCAGGAAACTCTGCAGGAGGAAAAATAAGGTTATTGACCATGTAAATCTGATGGAGGATGATAATGAACAGGTGAGTTACTAACCTGGTTTAATAGTTCACTCTGTGCCAAGATCGGTCGGCTGCCAAAAAGATTCGGAGGGAGCCACCCAGAGAGCCCCAGGCGCTGCAGGCCGGGAGAACAAGCAGGAGACCAGATCCAAGCAGACTAAGGAAAGTAGGATCATCCAGAGGGCGAAACCAAAGCCGATATCGAGGAGGTGCTCAGGATTCAGATCAAGGAGATCAGAAGTCCGAAAAGGTTCCGAAGGGAAATCCAGGATGGTGACGGGAAGCAGTTCCAATTTCAATTAACAGGCAGAATCCAGCAGAAGTCCATAGACAGGTCAGGCAAACAGATCAGACGGAAACAGGCAGGCTCAGTGGTTGAGAAGCAGAACAGGTCAGGATCAGAAACACAAAGGTAACAGTGGCACACTCTCACCACTGGCTTGAGAATAATTTCGTCTCATGACTGGAAGCAGGCAGATTAAACAAATCCGATAGGAACAGGAGGGCTCAGTAGTTGAGAGGCAGACCAGGAAATCAAAAACACTAAAGTAACACTAGGTCGAGAATAATCTGGAAGTGATGAAGGGTTAGAGGGCTGGTTAAAAATACAGGAGCAGGTGGATCAGATGAAGGAGAACAGTGGGGAAAAAGGAGGCGGCCTAGTGGCTAGAGCAGTGTACTGTGCTCTAAGAAGGTTGCAAGTATCCGGTTTGATCCCCAAAGCCTCCGCTATGGGTCCCTGATAAAGACCCTTAACCCCCTTTGTTTTATTTGGCATATTTACTCCTCCTCTGCAGTTACCGTTTGCTGGATTCATTGTTTCTTTGCTTCTGGTGTGCTTTCCCTGATTTATTTTTTTTTTTTTTGGCTTTCTGTATTTGCTTTTGGACTTTTCTTCTTACATTTTTGTAACTGCATTAAATCCACAAAAACTCCGTCTCTGCTTTTGGGTCTTCCAAAAACCTACACCCTACCTGACATAATCATGGTGATCTATGGGCAAAGGACTGGAAGGTTGGACTCCTAACAGAGACCTGGAAGCTTTAAACCAGAGAAGAACATTGTAGACTGGGATACACAAAGAAAGACCTTTGGTCCTAGTGGAATCCTGGAGGCGGTGGAAGGATTAACAACTAGCTGTGGAAAAACCATATTCAGCCTGAGGGAACGACAAACCAAAACTAGCATAAGAAGTAACATAAAGGCTCAAGTGAAAACAGATTGGCTAAAAGAAGTGACAAGAAACAGGCTAAGAAAGCTAAGTTATCACAAAGACCAACCAAGATACTGTTAATGATAAAACAAATAGAGAAACACAAATAAAACCAAACATAGAAAACCAAAGTATAAAGTTTCAATACTAAACTAGAAAGGTAAAAACAGAGTCAGCTTGGAGAAAACCAAAAAAACAAATATGAGCACAGACAACATAGAAACCAGAAAGACGAAAACAGAACAAGCCGAGACCTGCTCCTACATGAACGACTGAAAACCAGGAATTCCAGTGAAACCAAAAACATAGAGCTACAGATGAAACGGCTATGAGCAGAACCATCCACAACTACAGAAATAATTGCCTCATAATTCAAAACATGAACTAAGGTATTAAAATTAATCAACTTTTCAATAGTATTCTAATATTTGAATGACTATCCGTACAATAAAAATAAACTATTAAGCCAATCCTGAAGCAGCTTTGGTCTCATTTTGTTCATCCTTCCAAAATTCACACGTTCAATTATTTACTGCAAATCAGATTAATTTGAAATAAAGTTAATGTCTCATAAAATTGTACTGATAGTTCAGTCTAAAGCATTCAGTCATCAGATAAATGCCTGCAGCCTGAGATCCTCTCCATGAACACCACACAGGATACTGGGCAAACTGGGAATAAATTCAACCTCCAACCTTTACAAAATGATTAGAACATTTATGAAGTATTTCTAGGGAGATTAAAATACTCCACCTTACTGGGTGTGCTGATAGCTGATCAGAGTCTGCGTGCACTGTCTGCAGACAGATGAGATTTCATGCTCAAGCGTTACTATAATACCGCCTACATGGCCGTCATTTCCGATCTTTCCCTGGATGCCGGCTTCGAGTCTACCTTGGGGATATGCTGTGTACTGACGCACCTCCGCAGAGAGAATGATGGCCGAGGTCTCAAGTAACGAAGTACAAATACTTTGTTACTGTACTTAAGCACACCTTTTAGGTATCTATACTTTACTCCATTACTTATTTTTCTTCCAACTTCTGACTTCTACTCATTACATTTCCACACAAGTATCTGTATAATTTTAAAACAAATGTTACTCGTTACTCTTGGTTTCAGTTTAATGTTTCTAAATATTTATTTCCCGTCATGTGCTCCATCCAATGCAGATCATTGGCTCCATCCACATCTAGTGAAAACTAGTGTGATTGGATGAGTCATAGAACGCAAACACTCATTGGTTAGCTAAAGGAAACCATCAGAAGCAAGCAGGTGTTCTTCAAACTGCAAACGTGAATTGTCTCTGCCATGCTCCAACTTGGGATTCAGAAAAAGATGTTGAAATGTCTGAAAGGTCGGACACAGGCGAGAGCGTATCGGGAGATGGAGACCAACAAGACCTCCCTCATCCTTGGCCCTATCTCAGAGAATTTTTAGAAATAGTTGAAAAATTTAGCTTTCAGTTCATATAGTGGTATCTGGCTGTTTTTATTAAAGGTTACTTTATACTTTAAGTAGTTTTAATGAGCACATACTTTTTCACTTTTACTTGAGTAAAGAGGTCAAGTTGATACTTCAACTTTACCAGAGTGTTTTTAAACATCAGACATCCCAAGTCTCCCAGAAGTTCCGGGAGTCTTCCTGATGTCGATAGTTGTTCACGGACTATAGGAGGGGGTGTTTTTCTAAAGCGAGTGAGAAAGCGAGCAGGCAGTACAATAATTCATGCATCATGTGCGGATTAGAACTACTGCGATTGCGCAGGAACAACAATAGAGAGTGGGGTGTGGGGAGGAGGTTGCTGGTGAAACCTGTGCAGCTTATCTGTCCAAAGCGATGCTCTGATCAACCAGCGTTCCAGGCGACTGGTTGATCAGAGAGCTGATTGGATCAGTCCCATAAGTTTCTCTGGTTCCTCTCTGGCAGTCACCTAGTTACCACTCAAAGCTGTGCATCCTGGGAAACGGCAGAGGTTCAATCCTTGAGTAAAAAAACGAAAATATAGGACTAAATCTACAGCACAATATACTAAAGTATATCCACGTCTAGTGAAGGGGAGGAACAGTGGCGGATCTAGACCAAATGTACCAGGGGGCCAGGAGGGGGCCAGTATGTTTAAATGGGGGCCCAGAAAAGCATGAAATAAAAAACTAGGAAAGGGATTCAAATACATTAAGAGAGCTGCATGAAGGGAATTTTATTTTCAATTAGGTTCAATAAAAATTCTATTTCTTATGAGGTCAATATAAATTAAAAATTTAGGAATTTTACAAATTTTTGACTTAATTTAATTTACAACTAGTGTTATCTATAAAATTTGAATTAGAACTAAAAAAATCTATTAAAATCAGCTGTTTAAAATTAGATAATTTTTTTTCTATTTGTTGTGGAAAAAAACATTTAGCAGATTAAAACTGGGATCCTATCTCAAAACCACTGAAGCTATCACCTTATTGTTTTTGAATAATTAGTAAAACAGAATTTGTAAAGAAAAACAATGAATTAGATCCAAATGACCAATCAGTAACCATGTCTGTTCCAGTGCATGTCATCGTTAGAATTTCTGGCCCCCGTTGGCCCCTGTCTAGAACCGGCCATGGTGAGGAATGACGACACCATGGCAAGGTGCACTATATGCTGAAGTCCCATGAAAAACAGGAAGCACAACCGATGGTCAAGGCTACAAGACTGAAATAATTAAAAATAAAAGACAAATACTGTTCTGTTTTGTCTGCGATGGACTGG